GTCTTTCGACCGATCATCGATGTCGAGTCCACATCGTTGCGTGGGCTGGCTTTTCTTTTGGTATATCGAGTACTGGAATGCAAGGTTATTGTTATTTTACTGACTTATTTGGATAACGTTTGGGGATGCGTTCTCTCGCTTTTTTCCTTAAAGAAATAGGTGCGTATGTATATATTGTATTTTAAGACTTTGAACCCTAGGAATTCGAATGTGTTATGAGCGTAGGACGTCAGATGACGGCTGCAGGGCCCAAGTGTTAAGAGATGCGGGTGCGATGAAGCGGTCCAAAGGGCGTTCAGAAAAAAGTTCCAAAATTCCTGGAGGGGGGAAGGGGATCCAGCTAAAGGTCGTAAAGAAGCACCCAGAGAGAGTTCACTCGTAATACTTGGAACAGGAACTCCTAACGGTGTCTCAAAGAGTCGAATTAAAGTTTTAAGGTCATGAGTGAACCCATATGATGAAAACTTTCAGAAAGTCTGAGGAATGGAAAAAGAGAGTGGTTCGCTGATAACATCAATTTTCTTTTCTTCTTCCGAACCACTTTTTTTGTGCCACTATAATGTTTAACAGGGAAGTAATGTCGAGACGACGTCACCAAAGTTAATTTCTCTTAAGTTCTTCCAGTGTTACCGATGTATCGATGCTTAACGTGCATCTGGTTTAACAAGCATCAAGCTGATCTATGCACCTCATAGCCATAGTATTGGCAAATAAATATATTTAAGTCTCTCTGGACCTGATAAAAATTCCTGGAAAGCAGAAGTTGAAAACCCTTCCATTCAAAATAGAACGGCGCTCAATATCTAGGAAATGAACTCGATGAGCTCACGGTAAGGAGAGGTCCGTGAGGCTTGCCCCTTTCCATATTTTTGCGTGCATGAGTTGAATACAATTTCGATTTTCGGGCTCACACGAGAGGGCTCAGTTTCTTGTCAAATGTTTTGAAACCACAAAGCGTAATATGATAAAGTGTTTGACGTCGAGGTACAGGAGCCGAGCTCCAGTATTATTTTGAGGCACCGGAAGCAATTTCGAGGCAATTTTATGCCGGTGCCAAGTGGCGGAAAGAAATCGGTTCCTGGAACTCCACGCCCATACATTCGAATGTATTTGCACAGCAGGGATGGTTCCCGTCCATTCAGGGATGGCTGCTGTCCACTCAGGCATAGCTCCTGTCCGGTCCATCCATTTTTCATACCGAAGGAGCAAACGGGCGGATGATCTTAGGTATATATTGTGACTCCGACGTACAGAGCAGAGAGAAGACAAAGAGATATTTTTAGCAACAACCCTTTCCTCGTCCAATGAGCCCTGATACAAAAATATAGCCATGTGTATAGGATGTGCCGTGAACTTGAAAGTCCTATACTCGGTGTATTTTCATCAAGACATGTGATAGCGATTATGCAAAGTATTTTGAAGAGATTCTTGAGTCATGAAAAGATTAAACAAAAAGTGAAACGTGTGACCGTCGGAGTTCTGGTAGTGAAGGGGTTAAATAAAAGTAGCGGTTACCGTCAGAGGCTTTTGTTGTACCGTTTGTTCTACGGCGGAACTCGATCATGACGTCATCGAAGGGACCGGGAAAAAATCCTCGCTATTGTCCACGTTCCTGATTAACTAGGTAAGATTTTTGACAATTATGGAAACAGACGAGCTTGCAAGTGGGTATCAGTGATCGACGCCTGCTTCATTCCGTCCATTTCTTATCGAACGAATCGCGTTCACTTTCTCTCTCATCTTGAAGGTTTGCCTCTTTCGCTTTTCGGTAGCCGTACAGTTTACAAGAACAACGAATAGCACCTCAAGTTTAGGATTAAGATGTTTCGGAGAGCGTGAGATTTTGCCATGTGATTTCCCTGCAGCAGTCACGCTCTCTGCACCCAAACGAAATCCTCCAGGAATGAACATTCCGGGAAAGAGAAAATGAAGGCTTCCCTACAGTCTTCGTTCCGGACGATGGAAATGGAAAATTCCATCCATCGGGGAGCATCACGACGAGTAGTGAGTTTACGACGTCGTCGGTCTTGTAAGTAGAAGAAAGTTTCACTTCGCGGTTATCGAGGTTCTCCCAATAACCGAACGCGAGCGAGGTATAAATGCGATACGACGAGGAACCAGACGCAAGAAGCATTATGCCCATAATTGCAGTCGAACTCTGGAACACCAAGTTTGCCAGAATCCCAACTCACTTTGACCCACAATCCCACAATTTGGCCCACTTTTAAACTTCCAGGAATTCAATTTTAGAATATTTTATGCCATGTAAAAAAAAAATACAAACAGGAATTACGTACAGAAGGTTGTAAACAAATTCTGTTTATATAATACTACCTTGTATTTTCAGTATAATACTTTTTAAAATTATTCTCACAGACTATTATTCTCAGAAAAGAGTTGGCTACTTGAGGAACTAGCAGGGAAGCCATGAGTCACTCTCGGTTACTCGCAAAGAAGGCAGATCCCTGTTAGCGTGGAAAAGTTCAACCAAAACAAAATTCGGAGTATTGAAGACTTCAATGAAGTTGAACGAGTGAATCGTTGGGAAGCCGTGCTCCTCCGCTCATTGTGGCGCACAATTGCAAGACAATATCGAATAGAAAGTAGGCCACACCGAGTACTTGACCTTATGAGAGACCATTTGGAACATCTGCTCCATCATCTGCCTCATTTCACCACTGGTTTGATTAATTTCGACGAGAATGAGCCGGCTTGGGAGATGAACCTCGCAGTGAATTTCGATAGTCGTCACTCCTGGAAACATTCTCTTCTCTTCATAGATTTTGCCCGAATATCTTCGCGTGAGGAAAATGTATATCTCCTGGTGCCACACAGTCTGACAGAAGTCCAGGGAGAATACGAGTATGAATTGGCGTAAGTTTACGATGGAAAGGTTGCACGAGGGTAAATCTTGGGCGCTTCAAGTTTTGACTGCGACGAAATCTGGACGGATCGTTACGATCCGGAAACGATGTGGCGATCGACCGCGTGTGTGTTTCCGGGAACCCCGAGGTCGAAGTAGGTATGCCGCGGACGAAATGCCGGCAAGAAGACGGTTTCGGTATTTTCGATATTGGGTGCCGCGAAGGCCAATGGGAGGAGGAACGGAAGGCAGTTACTGCTCTCTGGTGCACCCCAGTTTGTCTCCCGAAAGAGTTGGAAAGGTACGCCGGCGCCGTACGAAGTGAAGCCTCTGTGGAATCCCCTTGCACCGCGACGATGCCAGTGCACACGTAGCAGCACGCACATGCGATTTCGTGGCCGATGAAGATTTTCGGCTGTTGCCTCGCCCTCCTCTCTCGCTTGACTTTATCCCTTCTGATTATTTTCCTTTTTTCAAAGCCAAGGAAGGTACGAAAGTGAAATGCTTCCACGGCGACGACGAGGCACTCTCTTCGTGAGCGTTTGGCAGGTTACGACTAGTCCCTCTAGAGGTGGCAGATTCGGCAGCGATAAGAAAGACCGCACGAGGGGGGGATCTCATCGGACTCGCTTAATCCTGCATGGAAAAGAACCGGACTTATAATCGCAGAAATCGTAGAGGTTACTATCTCCAGCAGAAAGTTTCTACCTCATGATGGGATTTTAAAAAAAAGATCATGTTCTTTTATAACATGCAACCATCCCTTACATTTTGGACATTTACATATTGAAGCAACATTGTTAATCAACATTCCTGGAACGTTGCCGCAATGTACTGTGCTGCTTGGGGAATGACTTTTGACAGACGTATTTTGGCTGATGAATCAGGGGAGAGGAAGGTGGGGGGGGGGGGCAGCAGAGCATGGGCTCTATACCTCACCCGAGCGATATCAGGGGAGAAAAATTTGATCTCCAAAGGGGTGCCAGGGGGCGGCCCCTTTCCCCCCCACCTCCCCATAAAATAAGCCATGATTTTCGACTAGTAAAACCTCGTCGGAGAAATATAGGCGGAGGGAAATGCCGCTACTACAGTCGCCCTTGAGCTTTCTTATTCGCTATTCTTTTAGCAAGAGACTTCCGGATACTGGCACGCGGTCCAGTTTGAGTCGAGGAGAGCTGGCAACTTGGCAAACTTCCCAGCTTCCCGTCTTATTGAAGATTCATAGAGGGAGACAATCGCGGGGGTGGACAAGTCCATCACGAATTTCCTCGTAACTCTTTCAGATGAGCATCGTGATTGGGTCGGGCGTTGATGGAAGAGGTCCCTATACCGGGTCCATTCACAGAGCAGCTCGTGACGAATAGACTGTAAAAATTGATGAAGAGGCTCGTTTCTCTCGGATGCCATCCGCGTCGATGTGCCGCTCTCGTTCTTCTACCCGCGGGACTTGGATGCTCTCCCTCTTCAATCTTCACTGTCCATTTCCCGTCTCCTCGATCCCGCCCCCTGCTTCCTTAGCGTCCACGGGGAGGAAGCTCACAGGTTACATCACGACCTTCACGACCTTACGGTCAGTGGCGTAGCCAGGTTTTCGTCAATGGGGGGTCTAAGCGGAAAGTTGGGGGGCTAACTTCGCCTCGTCGGGGTGGGGCAGACGCATTTCGACCAGAGTTGGGGGGGCTTGAACCAAACTTGGGGCCCCCCGTCGCTACGCCACTGCTTACGGTGTTCTTCACTCGAGTCAGACAATTCTTCATTCGACTTCGACACTCGTGCATGAGGAGCGTCCCATGCACGAGTGTCCGAGCCGAGTGAAACGTCACGTGACTCGGTGAAAAACAACGTAAGTAATACGACATGACGGTCAGGAACGAGCATGTTCCTGTACGGCAGCATTGGCCTACAACGGCGACATGCAACCCACGTCGTTGCACCCTGCCATTCTTTCACTCCGATGGCATATTGAATCACGTGGGTTAAATCTAAATTGATTTCCCTTGTGTTTCGAAGAGTCCTCGTCCATGAATGAAATTTGTCGAGGGGTGTTCCTTCGTGCGCCAACAATATGCATGGCGGAACATCTCCAGGGAAATTCCTGATTCACTTTCACAAACTAGTATGCAAACAATATGCAAACTATGCAATAAAAAGAGAATTTTATTGAATCATCGCAAGATAAGAAGCAGCCGGTGTAAGAAGCTACGCGAGAAATTTTAGTCTCACGATCTTGTTTCTTGCGACACGAAAGAGGACGTTGAATTCCGGTTATGATCATCTCGAAATGAAAGTCTTGGAATCCCGTGGCTTTTCTATGGGAACGAAGAGACGACAAAAAAACGAACGGCAAAAGGATGACACATCGATCGAAAAAAAAAGAGCAAGGGAGAAGACCGAAAGAAAATTATGGTGAATGTGATTGAATGCAATACGGATCTTATTTATTTAAGATGATGTGGCGAGAGTTGCCGAAACTCTGGCCGGCTTGGCTGGCTCCCTTGTTGGTACCGGCCTGCAGACCGATCACGGATTCCCCAGCTCGGAGTTGCTCTTCCGAGAAGTCACGCTTGTTCTCGTCTGATGGCTTCTTACCCAGATGAGGACCATGGTACTCCTTGTGCTTGTACGTCTGCATGTGGCAAAGTATCCAAGTTTACAACAGAATTGAGGATTCTCTAGCAATAGCTACACATTTCACCCATTCATCCCGTTGCTGGTACACTTTCCTCATTGACACCATAGGAGTGTCGCCTTTTTTTTTAAAAAAAAAAACCTGAATGTACTCTAGAATGATCATTATCGTCATCTTGAGAATCGGTAGATCGAAAGAGAAAAAAATTGATTCAAGGTATGTGAGTACCCTTGAATTTTTTGGGCAGATATCGTCAGAGATCGTTGCTCATTCTCATTCTCATCTTGCAGTAATTTTTTTATTTACGATTAAGTGTTTCGCGAAGTCATTTTCGTTGAAGCACAAGGGTCGCACAGGAAGTTGTGGGACACAAGAAAAACAGAGGCAAAACCTATGGACGGGAAGGACAAATCACGCCCATTTTCACTTGCCTATTCCGAGTTTCAGCATGCAGGCGCCTTTAGACTTTCATCGACCGCCATGTGATTTAAGGTTAACCGTGCAGTTCACCCAAAACAATTCTCGGACCATGATATTTTATGATTTCGAACGTGGCTTCAAGCGCTATCGTCCGATCATGACAAAGTTTGAGGACGATGGACCGAATAAATTCACTGACATTATGTGGCATGCTAGATTCCGACGCGGTCGAGTGAGTCTCGCCGATGAACCTCGCTCTGCTCCACCACCTTCAACAGTGACTACAGACTCAGTGGATCTCAGAGGGTTAACGTCATTCTTTACCAAGAACTTTGAACGAAGAATATTGCATCGTTGGGTGCATCATTACATCTGGATGCCCAGAACCAAGATCAATGGTGAAAGGCGATGATACAAGATTTGACGGAGGTCGATCTCGCCGTGTCTACGACATCGTGACTGGTGACTGGTGGCGCCTCGTAGATGTACCGGTTTTGCCCTGCGACGGAGTGACGATCGGCAGGGAGGGTTTTTCCAGGTGACCATAAGCCAACTGGGGCCAAAAGAGCGCGTAGCACGGGCGAAGAAGATCATTACCTCCTTCGGTAATTCTGATCGTCTAAATATAGTGACCTTCGAGGGACAGAGGCTCGTCGATGCCAAATGGTACTGCTAAATGTACCTCCCCGAGGTCTTGGAGGAAATTCAGGTCAGTCGTTAAAAGCAGGCCTCAGACGAACACTTTCCGCATCACGACCATTCATCTGCCCCCACAGCTGTCAGAATATTGGACTTCCTGGCCGAATCTTGAATCCAATAGGTGAACCATCTCCTCTATAACCCAGGCCCTACCCACTGCTACATTTTCTTGTTCCCAAAGATCGAGGAACATTTGAAGAGTGGAATGTTTGAGTCCCCCGATGAATGCAGAACCACGTTTACGAAGTGCGCAAGGCAGCTACCGTTTCGGGCACGACAGGACTGTTTTTAACAACGGTTCACGAGGATGAAATTCTGCGGGGCCCCTCAAGGGTTATGCTTTCAGAAGGTACGTCAATAATTTCGATTATCTGATGACTACATTTCCCGTGTCCACGAACTTCCCGAGTGACCTTCGTATACTGCGAAACATACTTTACTTCCAGAAGACTTTATACCTGTCGTCCAAGAGCGAAGATGGTAGTGGTGACCATGGCAAGATCTTTCTTCTCCCACAAATCCACTGTTTGGAACACATCCACATCTGATACCCCATATTCCTTGCAGGCGTTCTGGAACCTAGAAAAATGCGGGAAAACCACTTTGTGCAGAATGGTTCTTTCATCCTCATTACGAATTCCAAAATATTTCGCTCGCCATAGGTATGGATCTTGATGCTCCATTTATGCATAATAATAAAAAGATTTTAAGTGATTTAAAGTGGCTTAAAGTTTTCATATTGGGAATATCGTGTCGATTTTCGGCCACGACTACGAATAGGAGCAGGATGTCCAGGAGGAGATTTTACGTACATGTTAATGTTTTCCATCATTTTGAATTGGCTGCCAGAATTGTTGATTTTGGGGATGGCGCCGGGCTTGAGTTTGTTCATGAGTTTGCAGAGGACGACGCCATCACGGATACTATCTTCGTAGCTGTGGCCAGGAGGGAATTTCTCTCCCAACACTGTCTCGATCCACGCCTGCGCCTGCTTATCCATCTCCGGATCCCTCTTCATGGCGATCTGCCAAACAATCGCAAAAAAATCAGTTGCACCATCCTTGTCATTCACTGCCATGCAGTGCCTGTCTCCCTTGATAGGGCGCGAGCTCTTCGCTTTGCTAATGGCTCAGTATAGTACAAACCATGTTTTTTCATGCATTCTGCGCTGGAGAATAATCAATTTTCGCAGCAGCGTGGGGATATAAGCCAAACTCTCTCTACCATGACATTTATGCCCATAAATATCAAGATCCAATGGACACACTGAGTTTATTCACATCATTGCTGATCTCGTTATTGTAGTTGAACTGTAGGGTTAAGGTTCTTCCGAGGCGAAAAAGTCTGTCGATGTCCAAAAATACAAAAATCATGTAGCGAGGAAATATTGAAATCTCGCCAAATTTTCAACTGATGTCCACCATCCTTGTCCATCAACATGTTATCAACGAGGATGGCGTTGTTTAAAGGTAACAACATATCTGGAAGGTATTAATAAAAGATGCTGATGTCAATTTTTGCTTCCTGGTAGTTGGCATCAGCCCATTTGTTGCTCTTTTCAGTGAAGAAAGTAAGTAGGAACGAATGGGAACGGCGTCCCTGAAAGCTCTCGAGAAGGAAGTGGAAACATCGGTCCCATACCTCTCGCAGGAAAGTAAAAAATGCACAATCGACCGGGTAGACTCCTTCTTCCTTCTTCGAGTGACCATCTGCTCTGGGAATATTGTGATGATGACAAAAAAAAAGCCTGACCGAAAGGCCCGACCGGAGTAGCGGCAGCGAAGGGTAGGTGAGGGGAAAAAGGAGGTGGGGGGTGGAGAGGAAAAGGGAGGTGGAGGATGGAGGGGGAAAAGGAGGTTGGGGGTGAAGGGAAAGGCTGGTGGTTCAACCCAGCACCCTTTCCTTACAATCGTTCCCATTCTTCTACAGATGGACA